CACATGGGTTTATTTCTCTTACAGATGAGTCGTCTTGTGTAGTTACAAGATGAAATTTCTTACCGGGGTTTTTTCAAAAATTTTGTGGTAGAGTGTTGGTCGTTTTTATTGCATTCTCAGTTTAGGTCGAGCCATGGGAATTTTTGCATTTTCTATCCCTCCCTTTGTTGATTATTGAGTTGTTCAAGTTTGTGGTTGGATATACATATCAGAAAGTAGGTGTTGTAGTAATTGAATTGAACTTTTTGGCGGATCGGTTTTTGAAGAGGAAGGTAAAGATTTTTGGTAAGTTGCTGTCTTAAATATCAAGTTGCTCATATAATTTTTGTTTTTTGATTTTAGTATCCGCATTGCAGTTTTGTGGGATCTGAAGGGAGGGAGGAGCCGGAGGATGGGTTTAAGGTTAATTTGAGATGGGTAAGAGGATTTATTAAACTGCTGGAGGAGTTATATTATTATTAATACTTGTAGAATTTTATTTGAAGCATTTTATGCCTCTGACCCTTACAACCCTTACAACCATGCCTGTACTTATGTTTAGATTATATCCCTTATTTGTAAAGTCATTGGGAATGAAAAGGAGAATATTTTCTTAACATCGGTCTTAAAATTTTTATATGAAAATAGGGTCATGGAAATATACTTTACCATCCAACTGTTTGTACGAGTTAATTTTTAAAAAAGGAAGGTTTAAAAATCTCATTCGGAGATAGTTGTTCGTTCATTTTTAAAATGTTATTAGTATTAAATGTTACATCCTTGAGAGCTTTACTCCAGTAATCTATAGGAAGCTTTAAGTTTTAATATGAATTCCTGGTCATATTAGGTACCGTTTGTATAATTTTCTCACTTAGCATATATTGGGGATGCCTTTTGGAAAAGTAGATAGCTTAAACCCTCTTGTTGAACACCTTGAAGTATTTTATCAATCATAAACTCACTTCCTTTCTCCGTTCTTATTTCCTCAATGAGTGCAGTGGATGTGATTACCAATTGAGATTTTTTATGTATTTATTGCGCTGTTTAAGCCAGTGTCAATTTATATTTGGGCAAATTACGTCTCTGTAGCTATCATAAGGGGGAATCTTCCGGTACTTAGTATCAATATAATATATACGTCCGAATTTCGTTTTTAGTAGGTTTTTCTCTTCTTATTGACCTTGTATTTTTCATTTTACACTTTAGCCAATTTTTTTTAAGGTAGTAATAACTGATGTGGCCGCATTTTTAATGCATTTTAAGCTCTATACTGAGTACCTCATGATTAGTTTTAGCAAATATAGAATAATTGTCATGTAGTTCCTGGTACCTAGAATACAGGCTCCATCTTCCTTTGTCCCCTGACAATAGTGCAATCATTTTTTTTCGATGTACACCTTATTGCTATCGAATTGAACTTTAAATACTTTTTTCATTTAATTAATCTACAGAAAATAGGTCGTTTAAAATTACGAAGATAGTTTTGCCATTATCAAGACAATAAAATATCCAGTTCTATAAGCTATAGTTACAAGTTCTTTAACTAGCACTAGTATCTACTCTAAATCCATATCTGGCTATCGTTCTTTCCAGTAGTATTCGATGGTAGTATACTTCGCTCTATTTAAGCAAGCCCACTCAATGCGACCTATTTTTCCGCAAAATAGAACGGTCTCATGTTAAGGCACTAGGACCTTATCGAGGTTCATTACAGCCCATGCAAATCTGTAAGATTTAGTTTTCCTAATGGTGTAGAAAGAGTTAATTTTGTCTAGTTTCCTCTTGAAGAAGGGCGCTAAGTGCATATCTATAATCAAGAGAATTAGAATTATTGGTACTATAGCGTTCTAAAAAATTCACGCCATATCTAAATACATCTCTTCACGGTTCGCAAGGGCTCTAATTTTATGTAAATTAGTTAATTTTTTTGTGAGGCGTTAACTTTTTAACGGTGCATTGCCCTTTAATTTGGTCCAAAATATATTCTAAGCGACTAGCAAATTGTTAACAGTTTCATGGCACTGCAAAGTTCTTATACTTTGCTCATAAATGTTACTAGTGAATTTCTGAAGAAAGCGTTTTTAAGGTTTTGTGTGGCACGTCAAGGCTCAGCTACTACCATTTCCTCTATCATAGATTTTACGTCTGCCGCAAGCTGATCATTTTAATTGTACGCCAAGTACCGCCTTTTCAAATTTTTCATGTGAAGTAATGTGCTCCTACCCTTTTTTCGTGTGGTAAAAAAAATCGTGTAACCAATGCTAGTTTAATATATAGTTGTCCATGCCAGGCATGTTATTGTATTTTTATATGTGTGAAATCGGGTGATTCTACATTTAGTGAATAAGTTCAATGGTAAACATATATATTAAAAAAGTGAGGGAGGTAGAGGGTAGTGTAAGGGTTGAATTGAATATAATAGAGAATATTATGATGAGCTGATAAAAATTTTGAAAATTTAAGTTCGAAAAATACATAGAGAAATTGAGAGTGGTCCGATAGGACGGAGCGTGAGATCCAAAGGGATGTACAAAATATTACGGGGTTAATAATGCAGAGTAAAAGCTCAGGTTAAAGCTTTGTGCTGATTACGTAACAGAAATGATCAGGTTTTACTGACCACGAATGGTTAGCATATCTATTAAACTATAAATGTGATCGAGTAAGAATATTGTTTTAAACCTCAAACCAATATTTACTTAATTAATTTTTACTGTCACTGAATAAAATTATCTAATAATGAAATGTTTAACTAAATAAGCTTTATTTTTTATAAAACAGTTACTGTAAAAATTTAAAGCTTTTGGCTGCAATTCGAATTTTTTGAATGTATTTATTTTAGCTACCAACTTTAGCCCTTTTTTCACTCTCGCAAAAAGTGTTTACTGATTAGCAAAATAAATACCGTTAGTTTGAGGGTGTAGACTGTTGGGTAGAGTTAGGCTAGGGGCCGCAAAGCCCAGCTTACTACACGTTTCCTAGGAAAAAAACCTTGCTGTCAAAATTAAAATTAAATGAAAATTTTTTTTATAAAGGGCTAGGAGTTGTTTATTTCCTCTATAAACCAGACCTTTATATTAGCTTTTATAATTATAAAAATATCTAAAGCTTTTAAACGGTGATGAACATTTTATACTTAATAGTACTTTGTACAAATCCATAGCGACAGAGTTGCCTTCTCTCAGATACGGCGTCTCGAGTAAAATTCCGCTTCGGCATATATATTTTCACGACATCATGAGAATTAAGATTTAGATAGCATTTTTAAAGTGATTTCTGAACAGGTAGTTTTTTAATCTATTTATCAAGTTAAAGATATAAACTATGTGACTCGTAGATATCCGATTCTTCTCACTACTTGCGCTGTATCGCTAAGTGCATGTGAATATATTTTTCATCAAACAATTTACAAAATTTTTGCAACAAGTCACTTGCTTTTAAAGTCAGTCTAATGCTATATTTTACCTAAATGCCGGTTTCCTGTTGGTGCCAAGCCTGAAGTATTAATATCTTACGCAAGGGTGCGGGGAGGAGGGGTCAAACTATGTTTAAACCTTTTAGCTACCATAGAAAATAGAAGGTAAGTGACCACGGGGTCTTACTAGTTTACCTCGTCTATCGAACTGGCTTCAAAGGTTTAATTAATGGTACCTCTTGGCATGAGTCTCTTTTTCTACTAATGTAGCTAATCAATAATGAAGGAAAACAACTTTAGTTTGTTGTTAAAAAAACAAAATATCAAAGATAATGTTTCAAAACTTGAAGAAGTTTTAAGCAACTCTGAATCGACCTCGGATCCTGTGTCCTTTTCTTCTTCTAACTCTTCTCAATCTTCCCATTCTTTAAAATTTTCTTCTTGCGATAAACCACCATCAGATTCCTATAAATTTGTTTTTACCGAATTTCCTTCCTTTTCTCCACCAGGTATTCAAAAAATTAAAGTTAATAGCACTAGAAATTTGGACTTTAGTAAATCCTCGCCACCTACATTCTCTTCTAATTTTCCACGTCAAAGATTTTTTTTTAATTTTTCAGTGCCAGATGATAATGAAAAGCAACCTAATTTTTTGCATTTTAATAATTTTGCGAGAGGTGACGATCCCAAGTACTGCCCGGGATCGGCGGATAACTTTTTCTTCCAACCCCCTAGCAACTTTCCAAATTTACCTACAGGCAATTCTAACTTCCGCACCCCTGACTCTTCAAAAAATATGAAGCCGCCCATAAGTAGTTTTTCTTGTCAACAAAAGACAGATGTTTCTTCTAATTCTTCTTGGAACTCTACGGCCTTTCAACCCTACACTACACCTCTTTGTAATAAGTCACCTGGTTATATTTTCAAAAGTACTACTAAAGGTAGACCACCTTATCATTCTCCCTCGCCTCTTTCAAATACGACACCTGATAAACCTAAAGAAGCTTCACACAAATCTAACTTAGGTCTATTTACCCATTCTACTAATTCAAAAACAGATTTGAATAACTGCGGAGTTCAGTCTTCTATTCCACTTGAAGACCATATATGTAAAAATAACTCTTCTGTTTTTAACTTCTCTCAAAATTTGAAGCACCAGTCAGAGAGTATAACTAATGCCGTTACGACTCACATTTTCCGTGATACTTCCATGGAACGACCTTCCTCTGCTGGGGTAAAAAATAGTCAAGATGTCCGCTTTTCTTTATCTGACTTGTCATCAAATTTATCATCAGCTGATAATAACGTTCCCATGGTGAATAAATTTGCCTTACAGGGAAGAAGCAAGTACTCAAAAAGAAAAAGGACTTTTTCTTCCGGCATACATACAACTGTCCATATGTCTACAATGCCTGTTCAACTCTCGAGCCATCTGGATAGTGTTTCAGCTAGTAGTCCATCAACGACTAGTTTTAAAAATCAAGAATTTACAACTCAAGAACTTCCCGTTAACTTTGAGTTTCCAAGATCTTATACGTCTTGCAAAGATGAGAGTAGTCCATTGCTTTTTTCTTCTCCGGGCACATCCAGCACTCCCCTAAATTACGTCTTGCGACGCGCTCAAAAATTGGCTCATAGAAAAAAACTTTCCTTTGACGCTGGCAAAAACTTAAATTGTTATACAACCGAAAAAACTTATTCTTCCACCAGTAACTATGCCAGTTTTCCGGCTTCTAACCAGGTGAGCGCTGAAGATAAGGATGGTGCAAATATTAACGCCCTTGCAGAAATCTCAAAACTAAAGGAATCGCAACCACTGATGTACTTAAAAGATTTTTCCCCTGAAGCAGCAAGAGACGGTGCAAGCGTTCCATCCGTTGACTTTGTAAAACAACTTCAAAACTCGTCAGGAAGCTCATTTTCATATTTACAGGGGTATAAAGAGAGGGAAAGCGTTACTATTAAGTTTGACACCAATTCTCTTTTTAAGAGCGAGGAATCAAGTAAGATACCGTCAGAGATTAACAACGTAAAGGCGTGCTTCGAGGCGGATTTTTGTTTTTCACCGTTTTCAAGCCCTTTAGAGTTTAATAACAAAGCAATGTGTTCAAAATCTGTAAATAAACAACCAATTCAGGCAGTCAAACCAGTTAAATTTACTTTTTCACCCATTCCCAGTTTTAAAGTCAATGGTATTGTTCCACAATTTTCTAGAACAGTAAATATGAACTCTGAAAAAAGCGGTGAAGGCGTTTTACAAAGCAACGTTAACGTAAGTATCTCTTTTAGCTTCATATATACTTAAAAAATTGTATGATGTTTCAGGAAGACTTTGAGAGAACTAAGAGTGAGGGAATTGCTTTATATAAAAGCCAAATGTACGAGGAAGCGGCCCGTAAATTTACAGGTATTCTTTTACTGAATATGAGTGGCGTTACAGTGTCCTACAAGTTGTCCTTTTAGATGCACTACTTACTATTAAATGTGGTGCTCATTTGAAGCATAAGGCAACCTGTCTTCACAACAGGGCCCTTTCGTACTTTAAACTAAATGATCTTTCCAAGGCTATAGAAGATTGGTCTGAAGCATTGGTTAGTTTAATTGTTGTTTTTTAATAACTAAGCCTATTAAAAATCGTTTAGAAAATTGATCCGTTTTATCATAAGGCTGAGCTATTCCAAGCGGATGCACTTGTTAAATTTGGAAGGCTGGATACGGTCTCCCACATATACAAACGGCTTAGGGTTCGCGCCTTACTTTATAGTTTGTGTGTAATGCCCAATTTTTGTGTTACTGTAAAGAATTGTCTTCTAGCGCCTGAGTTGGACGTTTTATTGCAAGAGCGCTTGGTTGTTTTCGAGAAAGTTACTGATTTAGAAGCTAAAGTTGCTCTTGCTATAGAGAATGGTACTTTATTATAAACTTTTGTTGTTAACTTAATGGTACCTAGTTATAGCACAAAAATCTGAGAGGGATGGTCTTGTTCTTTCAGTGGGGTTCTTTTCCTGCCAAGAGTTATTAAAAGTGTGTAGTCATTCAGTAGAGTTTATGACCCAGAAGTAATTATTACTAACCGCTAATAACTTTTTTACTTATTCATTTCCACTAATAGGGCTACACTACTTCGATTGACTGGCAAGGTCTTGGAAGCCTACGACTATATAAAGAAGCTATATAGTGATGATAAGTACCTAGCGCTATGGTGGCAGTGGCCCTTTTTAGTTTAACGTTTATTGCAGAAACAAATGCGTTCCCTTGCTCTGGAAGGAATACGGCTATTGCATATATTATTCCTGTTTCTTTGACGACCGAAGTCCTAATTTTGAGGAGTTTTCCTCTTTTCTTTCGACTTTGCGCCTCAGTAACTTTTCAAAGTACACTCTAATTCCTTGTTTTAAATTATAACCTTTCAAGTAACCGACAATAGAAACCTAAGTGAGGTTTTCGCGGAGCTTCTGGAGGTTCACAGTTTAAGATCAATCTCCAGCTATAATTTGTTATTAAATATATTTTTACAGCTGGAAAGTAAAATGGGGAAAATGAAGTTAAAAAAACTAGAGGCTAAGAAGTTTTATGCTAACCAGTTATATATTCAAGCTATCGAATGTTATACTGAATGCTTAAATTTCGACCCCGTATGAGTTATTATGCACCCTTTAAGGGTTCTTCGATCATTGCCTTCTTCATTAGGCTCATTCTTTTTATAACGCTATAATATATCAAAATCGCGCGCAATGCAAGTACAATCTTAGCCTGTATCCTGAAAGTTTTACGGGTGGGTCTTATGATTTAGGCGTACCACCGAGTTCTAACGACTTTATTTTGCGCACATTAGACTGCTCCTCCAGCATTTCGGAGAATCCCCATTATCTTAAACCCCGCCTTTTTGAGTTAAAATTGGTTTGTCTATGTTAATAGTTGTACAGTCCTTTTTTGGGCTCCTTTATGTTATTTCGCTATTTTAGCTAGTTCAGCTTGAGAGATTCGCTCACTTGCTTGAAAAGGCAGTTCTTTTACTAAAAGCTTTCCCAGACAACAAGGAGGTGAAAAAGATGCATGTGTATGTTGTACAGCAACTGCAGTTGAGACGCGAGCGGGGTGAGCACCATATACCATAAATAGTTTTTACCCTTATTTTTTCCCTGTAACCCAGTGGAGAGAGAGGTTGAGAAAGGATTTAGTGAAAAGACTCATTACGACGTGCTAGAAATCTCTCGCACGGCTAGTGAGCTGGAAATTAAGAAGGCCTACAGGGTTAAGGCGCTTATGTGGCACCCAGACAAACACGTGGAAAAATCGGAAGAGGAACGTTTATTTGCTGCTGCTTATTTCAGGCATGTCCAGCAGGTTTTATATTCTTAACCTATGATAGTCCCCGTTCGGTAACGTTTTCAAGTTATAGGCCTTCGACGTGCTGGGTAATAGGGATACCCGCAAAGCATATGATAGAGAACTGCTGTTTAAAAATAGGCGTAGCACTCATAACTTCGGGCAAACTTATTATAAGGGTAGTGCCCACTACTCCGATACAGGTTATAAATATTAGTCAGCTTGATTTTTAGAACTCTTTACTAAAATAACTGCTCTTAAGGGAAGAAAAAGTAAATAACGTAACCTGATTTGAGGCATAGCTTAATAAAGCAGTTAAGTTCCTAACAACACCCTTTTTTACACATGGAGAAATTAAAGAATTCACTGCATGCAACAAGTAACCAAGTAAACTAAGTTTGTTATTCCTTTTTTTTGAAGTCAATAAATTCCGGTTTGGCAAGCCTTTATTAATAAGATTTTATAGATTGACGAAGTATATTATAAATTGATCTCACATTTTTATTATAAACTAAGGGGAGCTCTTTTCCCCTCGTAGCGTAACATACAGCGCTGGGGAATATAATTACTTTTTTTTAGACCATACGATAGAATGCGTACCTTAAAGTTCTCCCTTTTCTACGAGAACTTGAGTAAGGGGTAGTTGTAATTTTACTGTTAGGAAGTCTTCCTTGTTCGTAAACAATGTACGATACTATTATACGAAAAGCTCTGAAACCAAAAAATATAAGTAGAAAAGGCTGAATAAGTTACTGTTTCTTTAGTTGAAGTTTTCATCATTGTAAACTTTTAATTGGAATATATAACTATTTCTACTATTAATAATGATAAAGCCAAGCCAAATTTTCATTTCTACTGGTTCTTGATCTTTTGTTCTTTATCGTTCTCTTCCAACTTCCAGAGTTTCTAATACTTTATATATATCAAATTCGCCTATTTATTATATTATAAGGCCCCTAGACAGAATTTACTCCACCGTTTTGAGGTGCAAGTTGAAATTCACTACCTTCCACACACCTTACGTATTACGTATTAATATATGTGCTGTCTGTACACAAATAATTAAATTAGATTTTTGGTGACTTGAACCACAAATATAGTCAATAATAACGGCGAATTTACATCTGTAACTTCCTTTATAGATTTTTCGCACCAAGCTTGTTATTACAAATTTTTGGTTAACTTTTAAACACTAATACAGAGTAAGTTCAGTACACAGTAACCTATCTACGGATGGACTAAAAAATTAATTGTAGGAACATGTCATGTAGCCTTATATTGAAAGGCGAGAGTGCACAAGGAAAAGTTGGGAGCTCCCATTGACGCCAGTGACTGTGCAGGTTAATTATCCTCCGTTCACTATAATAGCCACACAGTTGTTACTCCCTATAGCGGGGTTTGCATCCATTTAACAGCTTCAGCCGAAAGTAAGGCTACTAATTTTTTTATTATAACAAATTTCCAGTGTTTTTCTCCGGTGTATGCCTATTTATGTATAAAAGGTAATTTTAAGCTTTACAAAGAGAACCCGGACGGAATGTATTCCTTTGCTTAGTATTGGTAACGCCCAGCTTGATTCGTGTCAATTTCAGGTGCTTATCGTTTACCTTCGCCCTACTTGCGTTCACCTCGGAACAGGTTTCAGTGGATAGGCTCAATCGAAATTTGTGCAATCAATATACTTATCGTTAAATACTGTCCCAAAGTTTTCTGCCAGTCGGAATTAGAGACTGTTATCCTTTATGAGTTATTGGCAATAGAATTTAAAGGTAGTTTTAACAATAATTGATCTAAGCTAGTTTCACGGCGTTCCCCTTTGCCAGTTGGGTTGTGGCTTGTGCGCCTTAACAATTATACCTTACTTTTATTTATTTGTTTGCTTAATTTCAAACAAACAAAAGCTATAGATAAGAATACTAATAAACTTATATAATACTTTACTGGAACGCCTCAAGATTAGAAACAAGAAAAAAGAATGAGATTAATTTAAGAATGAATATTGACCTTGCCCTTATTTATAAAACATATTTAAAGAGTGGTATCAGGTAACAGATGTGGCTTTTATTATAAAAAGGATAAGAAACTTATTTTTGACTATAATTAGAACTACAAAGTATAAAAGTAGCTGGTAAACTTGTCAATTCTTCGGTATGCTGGTTTGAAACATTAGTAACTTCTTATATAACTCCCCGGATATTAAAGTTTTAAAGAAACTAATAATACCTTAATGGCCATGTACGAGTTTTGCGGTAACAAGAATAAGTATGTACCATCTGATTAAATATATTAACTCCACCTTTAGTAGAGTATGTAGAAGTTTATTAGCTCCATTTCTCAATAGATTCGTTAATGACTTTTGTAGGAAAGCACGGTAAAAATAAAATGACTTCGATTTTTTAGTATGAAAGTAAATAAAGTTCGATTGTGATCAAATTCAAGTTGAAATATAAGAAAACTGACTTTTAATAGGAAGAAAACTTAGAGAAATTTCCCTTTTATTTTTTCTTGAAGTTCCAACAAGCGTATTGTTGTAGTCTTCAAGCGTGCTCCCGGCTAAAGGGTAAACCAATTTATTTATGATCTCGTTAGTACCATGAATAGATTGAGACAAATTTATAAGGTGGTACGCAGGAAGTTGAGCTTGAGTAAAACGAGCTTCGTTTCCCATATGATACAGCGCTTATCAAATAAAAGTTTTCGGCGTCACACAGGGGAAATATTGTTGAGCAAAGATCCCAGTTCATAATTTTTAACGCAGTTGTCATTTTTAGGCAATTCTTTTGATTGTTTTAAAAATTGTTTTATCGCTAAATTATTAGCATATAACATTCGCTTAAAAATAAACAGTAGCCAGCTGCAAAGCTTTTTTTTTTGAGTTATGGGGAGAGACTGCCCCAGGGTTATGGTAGCTAATTTGCTAGCTACCAACAAAGATCTACAAACAAACTTTTTGCGGAACCGGGAAATAAAGAGAATCTTTCGCAGGCGAAGGCTTCTAAGAAGCGCAAGGGGCAGCAACCAGCTTTAGGACTTCAACCAGAAATATTTTCCGTTTTCCCTTCTCCTATGAATACTGACCAAGGTACTGTTAATATTGAACATACGTAAGTTCAAACTGTACTGATGGATATCTTTAAAGTTTAAGCATAAATACAACTCAAAGTAAGGGAGCCCTACTTGACGCTAATGGACATGAATTTTATACTTATCAGTTACCTTCTGAAACAGAAATGAAGGTGGTCTTGCGTGGCGTCTTTATTGAGCTAGACGCCGAATATATTAGACAAAAGCTGGGGATTCAAGGGTTCCATCCTTCTGCAGTCATCGGAATGTGCGACGCTATGGCAAGCTTAGGACTCCATTGCTTTTGGTCCTTGTTAACTTACCTCAATCTAAAAGTGTATATAACGTAAGGAAATATCAGATGATTAAAAGGAGAAGAGGCTGTCTTAAAACAAAATATATGAGGACAGGCTTTTTAAGGATAAAAAAGCCTACAACTAAGTCAATAATTTATTAAAGAAGGAATGGGTGAAACTCAATAACAAACTTTGGGAACGGAAGCTAAAATTGTTTAAGTCCTGTGGTCTTGTTGTTATGGAAATAAAAAGCATCTCTCAACACTTGCAGCAATTTATTAAGCATACCACCCGTATATCATAAGAATGGTGTAGCACATCCTGCCATAGATAAATGTAACGTTTTTGCTCAACACCTATCCTCGTTATCCCAAAGTTTCGCTACGACCCAAGAAGAGGGACTTGGTATGAGGCAACCTTTAATAATGATTTAGACGATCTTTATTTTACTAGCTGCGAAGAAAATTTTTATATAATCAACTCGTTAAAGACCAAAAAGGCTGTGGGACTAGACGGGATATCCAACCAGATGCTCAAACTTTTTTTTACTACTAAGACTGTAAAGGAGCTTTTTAATTCGATGTTAACTATATCTTACTCTATAATCGTTGGAAATTAGCAGAAGTTGTTTTTACACCAAATTAAAAAAACCAGGAAAATTTATTACAGACTATCGACCATAAGTTTACTATCCTGGCAAAGTAGCGGAGGTTGTGATATCCGCAAAATTAAAAAATTTTACGAATGAAAAGAACATTATTCTAGAGCGTCAATTTGGTTTCCAATCTACATATCAACAGATTTTAAGACTTTTAGAATGTGCTACTAAAGCCTTTTACGATCGAAATTATACCACAATAGTATTTGTAGACGTCGAGGGAGCCTTAGATAAAGTTTGGCACAGAGGACTTGTCTATAAGATGGCCAAATTTAACTTACCTGGGCCCTCAGTCCAGATAACAAATAGTTATTTATTACATAGAAAATTCACAGCCAGTATAGGAACGGTTAATTCAAATTTGAGGAATTTAAACGTTGAAGTCCCTTAAGCAACACTTTCATCGCCGCTTTTATTCGCGATTTATATGGCAGATATCCCCAATATGCGGAAGACACAGCTTTATTCTGCGGCTCTAAATCGACGGCACTTGCTATTAAAAACTTACAACTTTATTTGTACACGCTGGGAACCTGGGTTACTGATTGGAAGATAACGATCAATGCTTCTAAGAGTGCAGCAATGATAATTTCAACGAGAAGAGTTAATATTCTAAAGCGTGAACTCTACATGAATTTAAAACTGCTTTTCCGTGAAGCTTTCGTGTTAAGTACTTAGGGGTTATTATAGATCATAAATTAACTTGCTCATGTTGAGTTTGTCCTGAGAAAAATGAACACTGCCAAGAATGTCCTATACCATTGATATGTAGGCGCGGAAAATCTACCTTAAAAACAAGCTGCTTTTATATAAATACATTATTAATCACCCAATTATGGTATGCTTGCATTTGTTGGTACTTTGAGCGTCATATAAATAGGCTGCAGATTTTTCGAAAGAAAATCCTCAGAATAATCACTGATATCCCATGGTTCGTACGTAATGCTCAGTTACATGCTGACCGCCAATTGAAAACAAACGGCTTTGTTCTTACAAATTGCGACTAAGTACTATAAAGAATACAATTTACATATCATTTGTTTATTGGTCAATGCTGTTAGTTATAACCCAGACCAGTATAACAGGTATAAAAGATCTAAACACATTTAAAGATCGCTTCCTTAGAGCCTCGATTCACCATCCTAATTATTTGTCGTTTACTCATTCATAATATAATTTAATTTACACTTTATTATTGTAATTATTATTATTTTTTTTTAAGGATAAATAACTCATATATAAGAGTGACGAATTTATATAAACTATTATATCAGTATGCTTACTCGACTTAAGTATTATTACAATTCAATTAATACATAAAAGCAAAAAAAAAATTAAGCGGATTATAGTAAATTTATATAT